GAATAAGAGGAAGAGGCGACTGTTTTCTTTTCTCACATGGTGTGACATCACCTCCACTAATGGCAGGAAGATTAAACATTTTGAATGCTGCTCTTATGTTCATCTGTCATCCGATTATCCTGGACACACTCGCACCTTACACTCCAAAAACTCAAACTATCACCAACTACTTTTAGACTAGTTCATATGGGCAAATACCTTGTTACAAAACTAAGTAACTTTTCAGCAAGACTTGTTTTAATAATTCCTTAGTGAATGGATTATTTTCTTAAAACAAGCTCCTGTGTCTCACATAAAAGTTACTCAAGTTAGTTTTTTTCTTAAGTTTAGCGTAGAAACCAGACCAAAAATACTTGGTGATATTTTGAGTCTTTTCAGTGTTTTGGTAGAATCAGACATTTCATTTTCAGAAAATACAAAGAACAGCAGCACAACTGCAAGATTATCATCAAAACAACCAAAACACTGCAAAAACAGAAAAGGTCACCGAGTTTTCCTGGTCTAGTCTCTGGTGCAAATATCTTAGGACACTTGAAATGAGACAAAACTAACTTAAAAGTAACTTTTCAGCAATATTAAGAAAATAATTCCTTAATATGATGAAAAACACCAGTCCCACTGGCAGATAATTTCAGTTATTTTCATGGGAAAATCTCTTCTTAACAGTGAATTTATCTGCCAATGGAACTAGTATTTATTTTTTTTAATCAATGTTAAGGAATTATTGTCTTAAAACAAGCTCATATTTTTTGCTGTGATGTTACTTGTAGATTAACTTTGTCTTATTTCAAGTGTACTAAGATATTTGCACCAGAATCTAGAGTGAAAATACTTGGTAAGGTTTTGCTTTTTTACAGTGCGTATAACGTCTAAGCAGGGCTTTGTTATTAAAGTCTTACACATCCTTATGTTAGTGATTACTGTAACTCCATAAATGTAACTTAAACCATTTTTCTGATTTCCCGGCCTCCAGTCATGTAACCCTGACAGTTTAATGTTTCTCCAGATGTGAGAAATTAACTTTTCATGATTTACAAGACGCACTAAGGCAAACAGAAACTCCTTAAAGCTGCAGGTCCTGTGACCTCTCGTAAACTTTACTGCTAGGTGTGATTGTGCAACAACTTTGACGTTTTAACGGCGCCGCTGTTCCAAAGCCAACACCGGGGGCCGTCTCGGACCACAACCGCAGCTGATAGAGAGAGGAAACCAAAAAATAAAATCACATTTGATCCTCTTACATGTCAATCTGGGCTGCAGCCGTCGGGATGAAACAAACACGACCGGGTATGTTTACTACCGATTTAATCTGCTTATCCTGACGTGATGCTGCACGTTTCTGTGCCAAACGCCTCAGTTTAGCACAAAAAGAAACATTCTGAGGTTTTTACTGAAAATGAGACAAAGGTTCAAGATTACACTCAACCAGAGTAACAAAAATAACTCCTGTCAGAATAACTAATTTTGCTGGATGATAAATAATCACAGAGGTTATTGTGATAAACAATAACATAATTTACAGACTATTTTGAAGTAATAAAATGCTATTGGCATTATAATAATGCAAGAACACATTCAGAAAGACCAATGAATGTTCATTAAAAATTAAAGTTCAACACTGGAGCTGCAAGACATTTTATGTATCCAAAAAGAATAAACAAAACGACAAATTAATTTTTATGTCTGTAAATAAAACTTTCCTTACAAAAAAGGCCAGTTGAGACCAAAACACCAGACTAAAGACTTTTATCATTCAGTTTTTAATTTGAAAGAGAAAAGAAGAGAAAAACAATAAAATATGCAAATGAAAATTGAACTAGTTTTAATTTAGGATGTGATTAATTGATTAATTACCAACCTTGTCGATGAATTTTCTTAATAAGACATTGTACCCATCAGGGGTCTTCAATCTGAACTCCTGATTTCAGGTTTGACCAGTTCTGACCGAAACCTTCACTCTCCATTTTTAAAACCCGTTTAAAAACTTATTTTTGCCCAACTGAGAGAAGATATTACTTAATCTTTATTGGTATTGATTTTATCTGTTTAACTGCGTTGTTGTGGTTTGAACTGAGTTTCTGAACACGCAGCCGTTACCAGGTCCTCTTAATTATCACTGGTCTTCCTCGTTATCTGGCGTTTAAATGGATGTCGGTGTGTAACCTGAGCTCCAGCGGCAGCAGAGCAGTCCGACACTTACCCCTCTAATGTAATTGCACTGAGTAATGGTGCCGATCCAATAACGTTAATGGAGACGGTGACTCGGTTCCTCACAGCAGCTAAAAATAGGACAGCAGAGAAGAAGCCGACGGAGGTTAAATAACGAGTCGGAAGTTTAGTCCTACCCTTCGTCTGATTTTTTTTTTTTTAGAGAAAGTGTCAACAGGTTGGCAGCAGGGCTCAACTGGAGGCAATTAAAATGCTCAGTGAAGTGAGACACGGGGCAGATGGTCAGGCACAAACCAGCTTGATGCACAACTGGTAACACAGGTTTCCTCTGATAAAATCTGCGCCGTCCAGAAGTCACAAAACGACTCAATCTGCAGAACATTCTGGGTTTGGCCTCCGACCCACAGAGAAGTGAGAAATGTAAATTTAATACTCAATGGATTCTTAGATGAAACCCAAAGAGTGTTTTCTCACCTGGCGGTCGGTGGATTTGGTTCGATTGAGGATCAAAGTATTTGTTACATTTTCACTTTCACACTGCAGTCCAAACCAATCCAAATGCAAAATGTCGAACGATGATCAGTTATTTCTGTTTCATCATCCTGAAACTTTTCTTCACCCAACTACACAGAGAGATGCAGAGTTTTAGATACTCGACTGGCGACATGATCAACGACTCGACAACAAACAGGAAGAGTTTTTAGGTTTGTCTCATTTGTGCATCTGTAACAACACGGTAAAGTAGGAAACTCTGCAGCTTTTCCTCATCGTTGCAAACGGGAACATTACACTGCAAAACACTAAATCAATCACAAAAGTATTTGTTGGTTTAGTTTCTAGAGCAAATATCTTATTACACTTCGAATAAGACAAAACTAACTTACAAGTAACTTTTCAGCAAGATATAGGAGCATGTTTTAGGTCAATTATTCCTTAATTTTGACGATAAAGTGATAGTTCCACTGGTAGATTATTTCTATCATATCAATAAATTTTTTTCTGTATTATTAATGAAATAATCCCCAACATTTGTTACATTTTCAGGTACAGGTTCTCTTTCACGCTGCACTGAATCAAACAAACCAAACTAATTAAAAACCTGTTCCCCTCCTGGTCTGTGGGGGCGCTGCACCAAGAACCACAGAAGAAAACAGTAACAAAAACCTCTGAAGACATCGAGCGAAACTTCCTTCTTCCCCAAATGCAAACAAAAGAAATGGACTGGCGTCACATTTTTAGCAGTTGTAGTATTTCTCTTTTATCTTTCATAAATCCATTTCTCCCGCTAGTGCTAAGCTAACATGTTTGTTTTTGTTGTATTTACCCAGAATGCTCTGCATTTTAGATCACTTCCTGCTTTAAAGACTAAAGTTGACGAAAGATGAACCAGAATCATTCCAATTTTTAAATATTGTAATTATTTGACTCTGTAATTTTAAATACTTTGCTTTATTTACTGTTGATTAAAATTTTTCATTTAATAAAATGTTAAAGGTCTTTTTAGGGGCGAGTGTTGCTAATTAGCTGTGGCTACATACACTTGTTTTTGTTTTGCTCTATGTTTTTGTATCTGTCTCAACAAATGAACAATGATCACTAGAACCATTTCTCTGGTCCGCTTTGCATTCACATATGTGTTCAAACTGCCCCAGAGTTCACTTCAGCTGAGCTGAGGTTAGCAGACGGACCAGAGTTTACACTGCACAAACAAAATCCCACCGAGTATTTTTGGTTTAGTTTCTTGTATAAATATCTTATTACACTTGAAATAATATAAAAACAAACTGAAAAGTAACTTTTCAACATTTTATGTGAGCTCGTTGTAAGTCAATAATTCCTTAGTATTGAAGAAAAAAATTCTAGTTCCAATGACAGATAATTTTACATATAGCATAATATCTTTCCCTTGTTATAAAGTGACATAATCTGCCAGTGGGATTAGTACTTTTTCATCAATACTGACTCAAAACAGATATTGTATCTTACTGAAGTTACTTTTAATTAGTATCATGAATGCCAGATATTATGCACTTAAAAAACACAAAATCTCAATTTAAAACAACAAATATTTCTTACTGTAAAGTTACTTTTGTGTTAGCTTTGTCTTATTTCAGTTGTGCTTGGTAAATGTCTGGTTAACAGGTATTGGTTTTGGCTCATATTTCTTGCTGAACTTAGTTGAGTGTACTAAGATATTTACACTAGAAACTACATGAAGATACTTGGTTGGTTCTTGTGTTTTTACAGTGCAAATGGTTGAAATCTGAACCTGGTTCTGGAATTAATGAAGCAGACTAATCGAACGTTTCTCAAACGGTTCCTAAATGTCAGCAGTTGTTGAATTTGACCCTGAACTGAGGAGTTTTTGCAGAACCCAGGACGTGTTGCAGCCTGCAGTCGCCTCTCAAACAGAACCAGTTTACGTTAAAAGTTAACCCAGTTCTGGTTGGTTCGGCCCGATGTGGGCAGCTTCGTGTTTTCTCTGTGCCACGCTGGGAATGAGCTTTAGATAACAGATGTTTGTGCGTGGAGAGCAGCTGCAGCTTCCAGCAGACCCTCATGCTGCTCCACGCACAACATCCATCAGAACCACACGAGCTGCGTCACATGAAGTGTCCCGTCATATCAGAACCGAGCCCGTCTGCAGTCTACACCAGAACCAGTCCCCGTCATCATCATCAGCATCTCTGTTATCAGCTGCCGGGATATCAGCGCTGGTTCCGGGAATCTGCGCCGCTCGGCCTCCGCTCAGTGAAGCCCCAGTGTCTCCAAAACAAAACAGATTACCGCGAACAAAACCAGCCGGAGGAGAAGCGGCATCACCGGCTTACCTGGGGAGTAGAGCCGGGCCAGCTGCCGGGCCCCGGCGTGCTGCGGGCCCCAGCGAGGCGCCGCGCTGCGGGCAGCCGCCCCATGCTCGTTCCCGTTCGGATCCTCCTCCGCCATGGACCGGTGCCGAATGTCAGTCTCCGAGAGAAGCGACGCCGCCATCGCCGCTGCCCGCTGTCCCTCCTCTGGTTCAGGCGTTCAGCGAGTAGACATGAACCGGGCCAGCTGATCGGCTGGTGGTTCGGTTCCGTGTCCGGGCCTCCGGAGCTGCTTGACGCTGACTTGACAGGAGGAAGGAGCCTGGAGCAGGTGATGGCAACTCGGCAGCAGAACCCGGAAACGCTCCGCTGACACACAGACCTACTTTTAACCAACCAGCAACCGCCGCTTTAATGTTCAACTGGAAAACAGAAACACTTTCAAATCTGCTTCAGCTGCAGCAATGAAACGTTTCAGTGCAACTAAACAAAATAACACTTAAACTGGCGGAAACTGTTACCTTAGGGACGGTCTGCAAATTACTGTCATCGTAAAAGGTGGGAAACAGCGATATCAGTTAGGGTTTCATCTTTTCATGGAGATAAAAACCGGAATATTACAGATAGAACGAAAACTCGGAAATGAGAAACGTTGGAAATTTTCTACGAAAAAAAAAATCTAGAAAAAAAAAGTTTGATTGAAAAGTCAAAACTTTGCTAGAAAAAGACTCAAGACATTCTTGGATCAGTGTCAGAAATTTTGTATAAAAAGCAATGAAATGACTAAATTTTAAAACAAAAACATGATACCGGAGATTTATCTCAGAAAATGAAAGTTAAAGCAAGACAATTTCTGAGTTTGAAAATTAAAATAAAATTGCAAGAAAAATATTCAGAATTTCTTAAATAAATCTTTAAAAAATTCTAGAAAAAGCAAGAATATTTCTGATTTTTAAACTCCAAATGTTTCTAATTGTTTTTATTTTATTTTAGGAACAGAATTAAAAAAAATAAAGTTTGAGTTAAACTCAAACTCAAATCAGTTTTAGTTTGAAAGATCAAAAAATTTGCTAGAAAAATATTCAGAAAATTTTAGATCCATCCAAGAAATCTAGAGCAAAAACGTTTCAGAATTTCAAAACTAGACAATTTGCTAGAAAAATTGTAAATTTTAAAAATTTATATTAGAAAAATTTGAGAAAACAAATACAAATTTCTAAGTTTCAAAAGTTGAAAATGTACAAAAATTGCAGAATTTTTTTGAGATCAGTCTCAGAAATTTTCTAAAAAATAAAAAAATGCACGGACAAGTCTGAATTTTAAAATTCAAAAGGAATAATGCGTTTTCATTTGAGTAAACAAATGTTCAACTAGCCAGAAATGTGGTTGCATAGAGCCCAACTGAAAATTACTTTATTGGTAGAAATTGGAAAAATTAGTTAAAAATAAACAGCAATCTCAGTTATGGAGATAAAAAACTGACAATGCCATAAAAGCCATTGTGGATAGAAAATGTTTGGAATTTTCCACCCAAAACTGTATTATAACTTTTATAGAAAAAAAGGAGGAAATTTCTGTGCTTCAAAAGCAGAAATTTTGAGGATCATGTCAAAAAAAATTCCAGAAAAAAAAAATAATTCTTGGATTTGGAAAGTAAAAACTTACTGGAAAAAAATAAAGATATTGAGTTTAATCTCAGAAATTTTCTGGAAAAAGCCTGAGCATTTCTGAATTTGAAAAGTAAAAAATCTGCTTCAAAAATACAACAGCAAGTTTTTCTCCTATTTGCGCCACAAATGTTGCTCTTATAGCAAACAGACACTGAGAAAAATCAAACCTGGCTTTAGTTACTGTAACATGTACCATGTAGTTCCTCGGGGTTTTCCTCTTGGACCCACTTGATTAGTGATTTATTTGTGTCCCTAAAATCATCAAACATTGTTTAATAATTAGCTTTCTAAGCCAACTGCCAGGCTGTTGTACAACATTGTATAACTATTTATCGATTGTATAACTATTTCAGCATCAAAATTTCACACAATAACCAATTATGAAATAACCAGTAAACATTACGTCCTGTCAAATCCCATCATCAAATATATTGATCATTAGCTGTGTTTCAATTCCAATTCGACATTTCAAAAATAAACTTACTTAATGGAAGCACAATAAACCCAAGAAAGGTTTTTCTCTAGCATTAGGGGTTTTTTTTTTTTTTTTGCAATGACTACACAGCTTTATTTTGCAAAACTGCAAGGGAAACATTTTTTAGCACAAAAGTCACAGGATCAACAACAGGATGTTACTACTGGTGGAAACTACAAAGATCATGACAGGAGGTGGTAGGAAGAAGATGGTGCATCTTGTTTCTATAATGTTCATTATTTCATTGAAAAACCACAATTGCAAAATTACACCAGTGGAACCATCTGGTTGTTGATTACGTGACTCGTGTGATGTGAGAAAAGTATTTCCATTGCAGTTTTGCAGAATAAACAAAAACAACAAAAAACACTCCACTTGATTTTAGCACCATTTTATTGAAAAACACTTTTTTTTCTCATCTGTCCAAATGACATTTTCCCAGAAGGTTTGTGGTTAGTCAATATTCAGTAATTTAGCTTTTCTGTGGTTTAATTCCACAGTGGCGTCGTCCTTGGCCGTCTCTCATGAAGTTCCCTTTGGCTCAAACGGTGACGGACGGTTCGATCCGACGCCGGATCGATCCCTCGACTTGGAGCCTGGGCTCTTGAGCTACCATTCATATCATTCTTCTCTTCAGTTCATCATCAACTTTACAATCCTGAAAATATGAGACTTCTGAAAAATATCAGCAACTGTAATCACAGGAGTATCAAGCTGCTTGTAGAAAGTTTTAGAGTTTTTACCCTGTAACGTGTCAGTAACTTTTGTTTTAATCTCCCGGGACATTTTCAGTAGTTGGATTTCCATTATGAAAGTGCGCAAAAGTTTGTTGATATTCTGCTAGTGTCAAAAAACACAATTTAGTAATTTCCATTAAATAAAAAATGCAATTAAAATCACATGTGAAGTTTGTTCATACTATAGATCATTGAAAATTTCTTCCTTCTGCCACTTCCTGTCGTCTTATTTGTCATTTCTGCCAGTAGCAACATCCGAATGTTGATCACACGACTCATAATGCGAAAAAAAGTGTTTCCATTGCAGCTTTACCAATATACTAATGTCAATACAGCCAAAATATCAACTCATCATAAGCAAAACCATTTTATAGAAACTGGAGAGTTTCTATTAAGTAAAATTATTTTGTAATTTCCATTTGTGCAATTTTAATCCCAATGGAAATAGATCCTGATTTTCATTGATCATGTAATTGCGAAAAACTGGAATTACTAAAATGAATTAATGTAATAAAAACACAGCAATTTTGAAATAAAGTTTTTTGGGCTAAAATGAAGTGACTTTTCAGCTGTATCTAAGCTCATGTTTTTCATAAAACTGCAATGGAAACTTTATTATCATGTGATCAACAACAGGATGTTACTACTGGCAGAGATGATGAAACAAGAAGTGGTTGGAGGATGAATGTTTTTATTCACGTGTTATTTTAATGATTTCTTATTTAATGGAAACACTGGGATTGTTTTATTTGACAGTGGAATGCCGGCAAAGTTTTGCACACATTTGTAATGGAAACGCAGCTATTGACTAATTATCACCCTTTAAATAGGAAAACTGTTAACATCTCAGTTTCATTTTGGGCCACATCGAAAGTCTGATTTGTGTGAATTTTGCAGATTTGGGAGAAACTGGAGGGACTTATTGATGTAATTTGGAGTCTAATGGGCCACATAAAGAGCTACGACGGGTCAGATCTGGCCCCCGGACCTCAAGTTTGACACACGTGGTTCACAAGCTTGAAGACACATTTTGGTTGAATATTTACCTACGATCTTTGCTACATTATTTTTCTACAGCTATGCAAATGCAAGTCAGCAAAATCAATCGACTTGCCTGATTTTTATTGGCTCAATTTCAGTAAATTTTTAAATATTGTTACTTTTGTCGTTTTCAAGTTATTTCAGTCACTATTTTTGTCAACCTCATTTCAGGTTAATGCTGCAAAAAAGCAGCAATTCCTGTTTAAATAACCTCACACACACAGGAGTTCTTTATTTCTCTTTTATTTATTTTTCTTGTTTTTATCTGTACTAGATTATTGCAATCTGGTTAATTCACATTTAAAAACCGGTCTTTGACCAGACGCACTGAAATCAATGATAATCATTTGTACAATAACCATTACAGGCTCCATGTCTGGAAATCCCAAATAAAAATAAGAAAAGAGCAGAAAAATGAAAGATCTGTATGTTTTTCTGCACTTTATTTTTGTTTTCATGATTTTTTTATAGTAATTACAAAAAGGGAGAAAATATATATAACAATCATAAAAAGGAAAGGTTGTTTGTGGGCGGGGTTGGGGATATTACGACTGGCAAACAATCACAACACAGCACGAGTACCTACTAACCGCAACAAATAAAATACTGAAAAAAAGGCAAAAAAAGGCTAAAAAAATAACGAAAACAAAGACGCAACAAAGTGAAGCTTCTTCTACAATCTATGGAAAGTATAACGAAAAAGAAAAAGGTGTTTTTTTATTCTGTTTGTTGTAAAATAAAATAAAAAGCATGAGTCAGGAGGAGAGGGTTTGGCAGGGACAATAAAAAATACTGCTGCACGTACAATACCTTTGTTCGCCCTTCTCCTCCCGTCATGTCGCTCTTACAGTTTCCCACTTTCCCCCTTTTCTTTATTTAATAGCATTTCCCATTAATATTCCGTCACCCGCTGCTCCTAATGGCCGCGCCCAGTCGCGCGATCGTTACACTTTTACATGTGAGTAGCAAATGACACTTTGATTGGCTGTGATGTGGAGATGTGGGTCCCCCGCTGGCTGCGGGTCGGGGGCGCGGCTGAGCTGAGGGATCCCGCAGGGCGCCGGTCTCACTGCGCGTGCTGACTCAGTGTGTGGTTCTGCGGGGAAGAGACGGAGAACGGGAGCAAGAGTGAGAACACATGATGGGAGAAATAATGGGCTGCATGAGCGGAGAGCTTTCCACTAAACTACAACCCACCCCTCAACACACACACACACACACACACACACACACACACACGCACACACACACACACACACACACACACAGCAGCAGAACAGAAACTCAACCGCCTCCCACAGAACCAACAGCAAGGTCTCTTCAGTTCAGACAATCCGACGAAAGAAGAAAAAGAACCAAAGGAGTCGGTAGAAAAGTGCAGTTTATGTGTTTCTGCAAATAAACACTAAATATTTAAATTTTAGACAATTTTTAATCAGAATCACCTGGATTTCTGTAAAAAGAATCAAGTTTTTCCAACTTTCACCAAGCAGCAGAAGAAGTGCGTTGTAAAACCTTTTTAAATGGTTTTGATGCATTTTTCTCTCCATAATTGCTTCACTTCACCGCCTGCAT